CACGCGCTGTAAGCGCTCACGCTTATACGCGCTATTTTTAACCATTCGGTTTGGTATCTGAGCGCTCACGGGCGTTCAGGGGTACCATTCGTTTTGGCATTGTAAGCGATTATAAGCGCGTCAAGATATCGGACGATAATATGCTTTATATTTCGTTAGCGCACACAATAGTATTATTAGTTACATTTGATGATAAAGATAAAAATCCATATTGTAAAAAGTTAGAAACCGTTTTAGTGTTTCTAACACATTATTGTGTGTTATTATGTGTTATTATGTATTATTATGTGTTTCTAACACATTATTTGAGTTTTTATGTTTCTAATATATTATTTGAGTTGAACTTCCATGTTCTTCTCGTATCATTCGTATTCTTTCCTTGTATTCTTAAAGGCAGTCATTTGTGATGCATCGTGAGCGCTGATATTGCGTTCCGAAACAAAAGTAAGCGCTCACGTTGCCCTACTTTGTAGGAATAAGCATTTATAAGCAGAAGTAATGACGTCACGATGACGTCATAGTCGACTTGTGAGCGCTTACAACTCCAAAGCAAACGACGTGAGCGACGCTTATAAGCGCTTTCAGCGCGTGAGCGTCCAAAGCGAACGCAGCCATTGACCCGTACATCGAGAGACACGTTTCACGTGAATTTGCTGTACCTCAGTCATATTGAACATTTTTAATAAACTTCTAGGTGCAAAATTCTTACGATTAGTTTTCTAATAATGTACCAAATTACTAATAAAGTTTACTAATAAAGTGCTAAATACGAAATGGATCGCATTTTTACTTTTCCCGCAATCTATAATCCCAAAAACTTTAACTTTTCAAACTGATTAAAAGATAACTCCTTAAGAAAATGCTAAAACTGAAATCTTTATCGATAAAAACTTTGCACAGAAATGTCAATATTCTGTCGGTAAAATTTTCAGCTTCAACATCCCTTTAATTATACAAATGTAATATGCAAATGTAATATACAATTGTAATATACAAATGTAAAAAAAAGTACGTGGCTAAATTATCGATTAAATAAAGAATTCCTATTGAGGATAGTTCTTTGATTTTTAGCACGTGAATTAAATGATACTATGAGGGAATAACGTTTTCGTGCCATCACCGCTTTGGAAATGACACTCTACAGCAGCGTGTAATTCCCGCGCTGCGAGCGATATTGTACAGTGTAATGCGGACATAGGCGCGGCGATACATACGGAAATTCCATATATGTGTGTGAGTGACATTTTATATGTATTATTGCACGTAACAAAGAGCGTGATCGATAATAGGAGATGTCGTTCAAAAGAAATAATCTGAAAATGAATACCTAGCCTATGAATGTTACACCACAGATCGTTAGATCGCTGTGTGTGCGGCAATTCTTATTAATCCTTACGGACATTTATCACACGCATTTAACATTTTGGTCAAAAACTGCAAATCTCGTTTTATTAAAATAACGCAATACTATGGACAAATAATATTATACACTATAGAGAAAAACAAACGGAAAATATTCCGAGAAATAAACATCGTTGGAAATGATGCATTCTTCGGCTTGCGTACTAATAAATAAGAACAAATAACTTATTTGATGTAGCTCTATAGAGAGAAAATTAAGTAGAAATTGTATATCTTAAATATGTATATTCAAAAAATGAGTACCATTGACAATGATGTATTTTTTAGCTCTTGGAAAAACAATTAAAAAGAAGAAATAACTTGTATGAAGAAAATTAATTGAAAATTAATTCCTGGCTTATGTGAGCTACCGCAGTTGTTAAAGCATTCTACATATAGCAACTTTAAAATTAATAATGTTAATTTGAACATATTTTATGTTATTTTTCTGTCGTTTTGCTGACTATTGTTCGAAGCATATTATATAATTCACAATTGCGCAGTAAAGTCGTCTTTCTATGCGGATGCCTGTTCAATTGTATCAATGAAATGACGCAAAAGGGGTGCATGCGAGCGGCGAAACGAATAAACGTCTATAAAATGCAACGCAACCATTCACAAGTGTGAAGATAATCATCTGACTAAATATTATGATGTTAGATCCTACATCTATACGGATACATGATGTATAACTTATAATTATTTATATTTATCCCAATTCACAGTTAATTGCTTCAATCACGCGGCATTATTTCGAGCGCTCTTAATTAACTCTTAATATTTACATAATGCTTCTTTTTACCAAAACAACCAACTTTCTCAGCAAAATAAAAACAACTATGTGCTTTGACTGTAGGGAAATGACAGGAACACACATTACGTACGATAATTCTATTAAAGGGTTGCTTAGCGAGAGGATTATGGGGAGGAACTGGCTTTGTGTGCCTTTAATCCGCTACGATTTACGATGGTGTTTTCTCATTACCGCGCACTAGAACAGTCAAGCAATACAATCTAAATAAAATCAACGAATGGAATTGTTTACAGCTCTCTCTCTCCTCCTCTCCTCTTTTTCTCTCAATTGATCGATATAGAGTTCAAATGATGAACGAGTTCTTTTTCCCGCCTTCGACGTTATTGTACAGCAATAAGTCGATTTACCTTCCCTGAACTTTGCGCAGCTGCACGTGGTGAACACTCAGGAAATCATTTACTTCTGTCAGTGCCAGATCGACTGCCGGACCGCATCGCTCAAGATCAAACGGGCTATCAAGATGGGACGCCATAAGAACGCCCACGTTGTATATCCGCTGGGAATTTTCGTAATCCGCTACGCAAGCAGCAAGGATCAAAGATGTAAGTTCTTCATGTCGGCTACACGTATATATGTCCGTACAACAAATATTCGAAAGCTTATTATCATTAAATAACATTGGTTAGACGGATTAAATTTTAAGATAAACTGATAATGAGAAACGCTTCTTATGCTTACTTGTGATACTTCACCCACGAAAACTATGAATTTTTGTCAAGAATTATTAATATTAGAGCAGAAAATAAATAAATCGTTGAAACGAAAGATTGTAATATAAAACATCAAAGATATTTCATAAAAACTTAGATCATTAGAAGCTGATTAACCAAGTGCTGAATTTGAGTGTCTCATAGTCGGAAGTTGCAAAATTATTGTAGGAACAATTTATCAATTAAAGCTCAGCTTTCCTATAATGGGAAATAAAATGACGTTAGCTCGTTAATTTGCACAATATACTCAAGCGAGCGGAAGAAATGCCACTGTGTCGTACATCGTAATCCGTTAAACAAATCACACAGAAAATATGTTCATTTTATTCATACACGCGATTACGCAGGACACCAGAACAGGAAGAGAAGACGCGGAATACTGAATGGTAAACCATGCATATCCAATGAGCTTAGTCACCATCAGAGCAGATATTTCAAAAAAGCAAGTCAATATAAGATTGTTTTATCACGTGATAAAATAATAAACAATTAACATGTACTTTACATATTTAATATGTCTCTCACTGTCTCTGTTAAATAGCATGTTATTAATTCTCGGTGAAAGGAAATCGTATAAGAAAATCAATTTCAGAAAAAATAAAATTATAATATAAATTTCTCTTCTAGAATACATCTTTTAGTCGATATTTAAATTTAAGTAATTTTTTGTTTCAGATTATTCGTTTATCGTTTTTGTCAGCTCTGTTGTATCGCAATAACAAAAAATGCATGTGGTAACTTAACGAATGAATTATTAACAGAAATGTAAAATAAAAGTAATACTTGAGAAGTAATCTCTTCGAAATGAATTGCCGACTCTTGAATATTTTGTACGGCGACAAAATACACGCGCAGCGAAGTAACTCAAATGAACAAATATCTTACCGCGCGGTACACTCACGAGCCACGACACTTGCGAAACAACAACGACCAATAGTACGAATAATCTCATTTCCGCGAACATAATAACTATATGAAACGGTCGCGAGAGGGAAATCTACAGGTGGTATATTTCGTAAAAAAAAAAGAAAGAGCGTTCTTTCACATACACGTCGGACCGCTCACTGAGCCACGTCTAAAGTTTCGCGGGGGAGAATTCACTCTTATATAGGGGTCGATATAGTTACTATGGAGTCGTGGCAGCGCGCAATCCAATGCGCCCCTCGGAAATAGCCACAGAAAAGAACAGAAAAAATAGGAAAGAAGAAAATGTTTGCACAAATTGTGCTTTGGTCGTGGAATAAATAAATTTAGCAAACAATTGTCACAAATGAAAATAAATTTATCATGTTCGTTTCAATTACTACTGCCACGCTCCACCATTTACCAAATAATCATTAATTATTATTAATTATTTATTATTATTAGTTATTAAGTTTATTATTATGCGTGATAATGCACCAATTTTTTAAATTAATAATTGAAAATCAACGTGGTGATTTGTAAAATGATAAAGATTTTTTTATTCAGTTTGACTTAATATATAGAATAAGATGATTAAATTCGGATTAGGTACCAAATGCGAATAAAAAATTTGACAGGTCGCTAATGAGCGATATTTTTAAATTATTCGTTTAAATTTTATTCTGGCATGTTAATAATCTTATTCTATATTGTCACTATTATAAATGACAACAACGTCTGTTTTCTGCTCAGCTAAAAAAGTAAACAGAGCATATAAGGTGATGGTTTAGTCGAAGCATCTTTCAAAAATACGTAAACATTTTCATTCTTTGTTTTCGATTTATTGCAAATATTTTAACGAAGCTTTGCAGAAAATTACAAGAAGATATAAACTTCCGTATTTTCAAATCTTTTCATTCTATTTAATGCGAAGGAAGAAACGCTTATTTGCCGACGTTATAAACTTCCTACAATTTGCTGAAAATAGGTAAAGATCGACATTTTATCCACAATAAATATTATTTTTTTTTGTAAGTTAAGAATTATTTCAATGGCAAATATAATAAAAATTGTATTCATAATTAAATTATATAACTAAAAAAATTATATTTAAAAAAAATTATATTTAACTATCTATCTTATTCAATGTTGTAACGAATTTGTTGAAAAAAAAGATATAATAAAAATTATTCCTATATAATAATATAATATTATATAATATAATAATATTATATAATAATATAATAAAAATTATTCCTATTTTAAATTAAAAATACGTGTTGCATTTTGCCCTAGAAAATTAATTAAAACTTTTATTTTAAAGTGCTCATTTGATTTATATCACACTACTTCGTTACATCCAATTTATTGTCTTACTTAAAGGGGACCTGACAGAACTGTCCTTCACCGATCTTGATGCGCTTTGGATATGTTGTAGAGCATAAAAAACTATTAGACATGTGCTTTTTTTATCGGCCGAACTCGAGGTTTAGGGCTTGAAACAGCCCCTTGAGAAAAAAGGACTTTTTCATTTTTATTGAATATTTCCTAAAATACAATGTATATGAAAAAATGTTTCCTATAAAAGTTGTATAGTATTTAATACTCTTTGCAACGGTATATTCAATTTAAAAAAAAAATGTCAAATTTTTTAATCCCCTTCCGTACCAACTCGTTACCTTTGCAAAATTTTTAAGTTTTTGTAAGGACAAAAATTGTAAAACATTTCATGCCAAATTCACCCATATATAATATTAGAAATTGGTCTCCATTAAAGTATTGGGAAACGACGTGATAATATTGTGCTATAAACGCTACGCTGTCCTAATAGATGGATATTGTAGGTAGATACGTTACTGTAAGTAGGGGAATGTAATGAATTGTAGAAAAATAATACATAGGCAGTTGCATATATTTAACATATAATGTTTACAATTTATAATATTATTATATTCTATTAAAATCATATAATTAATATAATATAAAAAAAAATCGATACAGAATTTGCACAGAAAATAATGTTTTATTTATGGCACATATTCGTTACAAAGATGGTGCTCATGGAAAAAATGTGTGATGCAAAGTGATCGTTTGCACTAAGAACAAGTAATTATAGCAGTATCGCCACAAATATCGCATTTTACTTTAAAATGTTTTTTGAAACAAAAATCAACCGGTGTTTCAAACTATGACGGTCAATTCTGTAAATATCCATTTTTGAACCATGCAAATTTTTAAACCTAGGTGACGAGAATTGATCGTGCATCAATGACTGCAATTTCAAAATATTGTTCCTATTATGAAGATCAATTGCAAGATCTAATAACATAACAATATCAAAGAAATATTTGATAAAATTTTTCCACAAGAGGAAGCCATATACATCTAGTGGTTGTATTTTTCCTGTTGTATCAGCCGGGATTATACATAATATTTGTTGCAGAATCTGATCTGGTTTCGACAATTATGTTAGGACAATGTCCACACCAACAATTTAATAGTAATACGGATTGTGGCCCGACATTTGGAAAGAAAACTTCTCTCAACCAAGTTTTTACATGATTTGATATTAATTTACCTGACTTTAAAGCCATTATATAAATGTTAGGAGCGTTAAATAACGATTCCTGCACTCGTGGACCAAACGTTCTTGTGGGTTCTTTTAATACGATCAAAAGAGGTGACAATAGTCTACCATCAGCGGAAATAGTCGGCTGTATAACTATGCGTGTAACTATGCGTTGCTGATACAGATTGTACTGTAGATTTTATTACTTTTGCACCTTTATTTGCTAAAGTACAACCGGCGTGAAGTTCTAATTGCAATCCACTTTGATTCGAATTGTAAATATTTTCCATATTGATACTCCATATTGATTACTAAAATATTTTACATTTGTTATAAATATTTCGCACTTATTTTCCAATTCTGATTTTTATAAAAAAAAAATTTTCTGGCAAATTTCGTTATTTTACAAGATTTTTCTTTTGTTGTGCTCGAGAAGCCTATCGAGCAATGTCAATATCATGAATTATCATTCCTCTTTGGAGCACTTCATTGAAATTGTTTAATGTATATTCAGCAATTCTTTGCAATTTTTCTCTTCTTGTACATACCACCTGCATGGATATACTTCTCCCATCGTCGTAATTGTCGTAGCGATGTTACTTGTTTATAATTATGTTTTACCGATTCCAATGATTTTGGTCTTGTTTTACCGCTTCTCCAGTATTCCACAGCTTGCCTTTTGTAGTCGTTTGATATTGCTGCTTCAACAGAAGTACAAATAACTTCTTCTGAAAGATAATTCTCATCTTCAACATGATGAAACAAATCAACTGTTTTTGCATGTGGAATCTCATTTGGATCATAAAAATCTAGTGCTTGCTACTATTCTGTTTCAAATTCGTTATCATTTCCAATTTCTTTCAGCATGTATTCAACCTTCTCCTTTATTTCTATTTCCTCCGAAGTTATCGGACTTTGTGGAAGGTCTAATGCAGAGAATGTTGCGTACAGTAACAGTATGACATTCCATACATTAAATGACATCATTCTGGAACAGATTAAAAATAAATGTTTGTCTCCACCTGTGATTATATAAAACTGTGATATAAAACTGTGATTATATAAAAAATAAAATATACTTTATAATTAATGTTATGTCTTCTTATTTTGGACGTTGTTTTCTTCTCTTCTGTCTCTTGATATCAGATATACAGTGCATCTAAAAGAAATTAATAAATCAAAACGCAATTATAAACGCATTATTTACGTTATATTTGTTGAGATAATAGGGAGACGAATATATAAAATGTTCACATAAATATGTAAACATGTAAAAAAAAACAAAAAATTATCTTATCAATTGATAATAATTATAGTAGGACCTCACAAGTATATCCGTCGGTCCATCAATATCGTTTATCACAATTAGAGTAATCACAAGTAAAGCTACAATAGTCTTCTCCTATATTTTTATAATATAAATAACCGTTTCAAGTTTATAGAAGTACTTTTTTTTAGAAGTACCAACATATAAACGTATAACAGAAATGTTGTTAATACGCTTAAGCAAGTTGGCATGATGTGACCGTTCTTTACTAATTGTTTTATCGTTTAAATATATTTGATTAAGGATATTTGTATTGTCCGTACCAGATTAATAATGAAAAAATTTTCCAAAAATTGGTGCTAATCTACATTGTATATGAAAATGAAACTCAAAGTTTTAGAATAATTAAAAATCTAGATTAAATATTGTTTCATTTATTTTAATAAAAAAAGTAAATTATAAAAATTAAACGTTAAAGCCAAGAAATGTTGCTATTTAACTATATCGTATACATATATCATGCATTTTTATACAGAAAATAGAAATATTAATCTATTTCTAACTTCTTGTTGGGACTATACGGATGAAGCATCCTTCATAAACACGTTACATAGTTACTGTTTCGCTAACAAAAAAAAAAGAAACAGTGTACACATCTTCGATTGACATAACTGTATTTCTTTTTTGTCTAAAGTAGCATAAGAATTATTTTTTACGTTTCAATATTGATCCATTAATAAATATATTCTACAATTTAACTATTGCTCTATTTTATTTCCTTTTCCGTACAATACTAACTGAATAAACTATTATTATTTCAATAATATAAAAGTGAAGAGTGGCAAGCGTAAAATAATAATACAAGTTAATAAATACTTACATAATTTCAGTACATTATGATATATAATATATTGTATAACGGTTACTGTACAACGCACAGTTCGTATATAACACACAATTCTTCACAGTACCAACTCACGAAACGAAATGCACGTTTTGAAATGTTGCGGACATTTATATAGAGTCTAAATTGTACGCAGTACGATGAAATGACTAAATTAAACTTCGCATGATGATCACATGATTGTGTTGCGCGAAGCGAATAAAACCTATTTTTAGTACTAAACAGTAGTTGTTGATGTAATTCGATCTTCCTCTTTGGGCACGGGACTGTAAATAGTGTGACTCATACACATGATATATGATTATATCATGATTATATTATATGATTTTAAAATATTATAATAACATTATAAATTGTAAACATTATACATCAAATATTTGCAATTGTCTATGTATTATTTTTTTACAATTAATTACATTCCCCTACTTACAGTAACGTATCTAGCTACAGTATTCATCTACTTGAACGGCATGACGCGTATAGCACGATATTATCACGACGTTTTCCAACTATTTAATCGAGGGTACCTTATAATATTATATATGGATCGATTTAGTATGAAATGCTGTACAATTTTTGTCCTTACAAAAACTTACAAATTTTGCAAAGGTAATGAGTAGGGGGGGAGGATAAAAAATTTGATGTTTTTAAAAAAATTTTAATATATTGTTTCAAAGAGCGTTAAATACTGTACAACTTTTGTAGGAAACATTTTTTCATATACCTTATATTTTAGGAAATATTCAATAAAAATGGAAAAGTCATTTTTTTCAAGGGGCTGTTTCAACCCCTAAACTCAATATATGGCCGATAAAAAAAAAATACGTGTCGACTACTTTTTGATACTCTACAACATATCCAAAGCGCATCAAAATCGGGGGGGGGGGACAGTTCCGCAACTTCCCTTGTTAGTATGATATTTCTATAAGAGAGAACAAAGATGTAATTGAAAAACGGATACGGTCAAAAGGAAAATCCCAGACAGATATTCTAGAAAATACAATTGGTAAAGTTACTTCTTTACTAGAAAATGACTACAGATATGTTTCTTCATCGCAGACATTTTTAAATCCAAAAGGAGAAGATTTGGCTTTTTGTCAACTAATATTTTCTTTGCTTATTAATCTATCCGAAGATACAAAAGTAGAAAAGAAAAAAGCAATATTACGTATTTTATACGATATGTAATCATTATCTTATCCTAGACAGCACAGACTTCCGAAAAAAACATCCTAAGAACATCCCTACAATCGAAGAATGTCTTTAGAATATTCTTTGGACATTATGTGCTGAAATACGATATGTTAATTTATTTGCGACATGGGATAATTACCAGGACATATTATGTTTATTTATTTTATGCAATATGTTAGAAAAAGTATAATGACATATTTGTTTTTTATGTGACATTGGCTGCGTTTCGGTATTTACTGGCAGTACTGGCAGCACTGCGAGTCTGTTCCGATATAGGCGGCAGTAAGCTTTCAAAGCACTTTTGTGTTCATATGACGTCATACATTTTATCGTCACTTCCTGCTTTTGTTGCTGCAGCTCGCGAGGTGAGGCAGTCGCAGTAAAAATGGCGGAACCTGTAAACATGGAACCCATGGAGGTGTTAACTTTAATTGACGCAGAGAATAATAAGCAATTTCAAATAACAGTAAATCGAGAAGATGGGGAGAAAGCACGACGAGGTACCAATATGCCATTTATATAATTAATAACTTAAAAGAAAAGAGCATTTATATAAGAACGTTATACTATATATTTACCCTATATTTTTATAAATATAAAAATATCACTTGTATTTATTTTATAGATATGGGTTTTGCAACTTTATTACTCGAAAGAGTCAAAAAGAATATTTTACAATCTACATACCTTTCTTGTGCAGAAGTGGCTACCATTGAACGTAAATATCATAATAGATGTAAATATAAATGTATAAAATGAATAATACCAATTTATAGCAAATGGTTTAATCTATTTCAGCAAGTACCAGTACAAGCAATAGCAGTAGTAGAAGTAATAATTTAGAAAATAATAAAGGTAAGCTGAACTTTCTTACATTAATACAGCTAAAATTGAAGTTTAATATAACACTTGTAATATTTTAAAAAAGATATTTTAGCCTAGCCCAGGCAGTAAGATGACGTCTCAAAATGTCTTCATGATAATAATATGTCATTAAGACGTCATCTTGCTACGTAGACTATAAGATCTTTATAAATGTATTACAAGTGTTACTAATACTAATATGTATTAAATATTTAAATCATGTAAGTATTTTAAACCGCTACAGATATTCATATTTGGGGAAAAGACGAAACTTTATTTCTTATAAGTCTATATAGTGAATTTTAGAAAATTTTTATTAGAAGATTTTTATAATGGCAAATATACTGTGAAACACCAGTGGGAGAAAATAGCAAAAATTATGCAAGAGAAAGGTTACGATGTTACAGGCTTCAAATGCTGTACAAAATTTCAATCTCTGAAACGTGCATACAAAACAGTAGTAGACCACAATAACCAAAGTGGTAATAACCCTAAAAAATGGGAATATTTTCAGGTATTACATATTTTTAATAATTATTTTTATATAAAGGCATATTATATATCTGTTGATTTAAAAATTATATTTAATAATAGACATAAATGTAGAAA